TAGACTGGGTTGGATTCAAATCCGTAACCCGCTGGTTGGAAGTCAACTATCTAGGTCAATGAGTCACAGCGTTACTCAGTGCTTAAGTCGAAGGCTTCATCACTAAGTTATTCAGGTCAGATATGATTCAGAATGATTAGATATTTGAATAAACTGATGACACCTAGAATCAGTGTTTTTTTAATGATAAAACACAGCAAGACGTGATTAGTTCAATGCTGTATTAATGGTTAGATAGTCATTAAAATTTCTAGGCTACAATTATCTGTATCCTGTTTGTTGTACAGCGTCGATACAACTTGTAATAAAAGATGTTTAGGTTGTTCTTTAAAGTTTGCAGTCTTGGCCTGTTAACCGTATGTACATATATCTATTTACTCGCTAGCCTTCTGTTGACAGTGAACTGACACATAAACAACACAACTATACTTTATTTATTAACAGTGCTAATCACTATTTCATAAAAAAAATCACCTAACTTTTAAGAATTCAATATGGTGACTGGAAAGCCGATATAGACACGCAGATTTATTTACGAATATACACATGAAGTTCAGACGATAGTGAATTACATTATCGATACTGGGTGACGATTTAAGGGAAATGAAAACTTAGACGACCGCAGCCGGATTCAAACCAGCGACCACTGGGGTTTCGGCCCGATGCTCTACCAACTGAGCTACAGGGTCAGACTGCTGACCAGATTTTTTAAATTCACTTCAGTCACCAAGGGGTTTTGCCCGTCTACCATATGAATTCGTGACCCGTTACTATCGCTTGATCGTACTCACACTGGCTACCTGGTTAGGACTTCTCATCCCACTCCAAATCGAACTGAATTAGAGAGGTGCAGCATCATAGTGATTATCACTTAGAATATCTGAAATAGTCGTCCTTTTGGCAGTATCAATACTAGTCTGTCAAAACCACGAGTATGTCTAACAGTCAAAATGATAATTATATTATCCTCCATTCTCTCCTTGGAATGCTGTAAACTGTATTCAGCTAATAATAAGAACATCCACGTATAACATCTTACACTAACAAGATTTCATTTAAAACACGATAGCTTGTATGTAAGGGTTTGACAGAAAAACAGTTTACGATTTAGCTCACTTATCAATCCGTGTAAAGATGTGAGTGATATATTATGCGAACTAGTGACAGATTGGTTGCACGAATCATGTTGGACAGAAAGAGGTTTGAACAAAAAACTCGGTGATTGAAATTATAATAACTAATCCAATGAATAAAATACACAAATACATACAACTCTGAGTTTCAAACAGATGACCACATGAACAACCACGATCAAGAAATAAGAATTTCAAAAACGTATATAGGAAACCGGAATACAAAACTATATGAGTGAAGACTCAGTATTTTTCCCCTACATATAGCATACATCATGCTTGAAGAAAGAACAAGCATGGAGGCTAACGGTAAAAAGCCAAGACGTATAGCTACGGTAACAGGTATAAACTCCTTATTATATGCATAGATATACACACTTTGCAACGACAATCATTATTGAATATATCCGTAAAAACGAATCCAGCTGTGAACAAACCAGCAAAACATTTATACATTAAAGCCGCTGATCTGGTCACTAGGAATATCAGCGCCAGTAAAAATTATAACTGCAAATATACTGATTCTAAAGAGCATGATAAGTTAACATAACGAATTTTTGAGGACTGGTATTTCGTGGACCATCGCCCTTCTGATCCTCAGATATTCTTGCTGTTTGACAGTTACAATATATAAATAGTAATTTTTTAACATATGTTTGATGAACAATTCACAGAGTAGATTACTTACGTCAAAATGACATCAGAACTGAGTAGTGTACAGTCGAGTCATATATGAAGACTGATAAAATTAACTGAACCATATTGAATTGGTCAGTAACAAACACATGGAAAACAGCAAAGTATTGTAACAATAATTAACTCATATAAAAAAGAAATTCACCTAAATTATATGCTATTTGGTACCCGTCAGTAAGGAGTTTCTGCAACTTTGAGGAAAACTATACTCCTTCCAAGATCTAAACTCATCTTATTTCAACACTCAGCAAGAACAGACATGTTCATGAATTAGACAATGTCATGTACATAATATGAAGGTTAATGACACTACCTGACTGCCCAAACTATAGTAGACTGGGTTGGATTCAAATCCGTAACCCGCTGGTTGGAAGTCAACTATCTAGGTCAATGAGTCACAGCGTTACTCAGTGCTTAAGTCGAAGGCTTCATCACTAAGTTATTCAGGTCAGATATGATTCAGAATGATTAGATATTTGAATAAACTGATGACACCTAGAATCAGTGTTTTTTTAATGATAAAACACAGCAAGACGTGATTAGTTCAATGCTGTATTAATGGTTAGATAGTCATTAAAATTTCTAGGCTACAATTATCTGTATCCTGTTTGTTGTACAGCGTCGATACAACTTGTAATAAAAGATGTTTAGGTTGTTCTTTAAAGTTTGCAGTCTTGGCCTGTTAACCGTATGTACATATATCTATTTACTCGCTAGCCTTCTGTTGACAGTGAACTGACACATAAACAACACAACTATACTTTATTTATTAACAGTGCTAATCACTATTTCATAAAAAAAATCACCTAACTTTTAAGAATTCAATATGGTGACTGGAAAGCCGATATAGACACGCAGATTTATTTACGAATATACACATGAAGTTCAGACGATAGTGAATTACATTATCGATACTGGGTGACGATTTAAGGGGAAATGAAAACTTAGACGACCGCAGCCGGATTCAAACCAGCGACCACTGGGGTTTCGGCCCGATGCTCTACCAACTGAGCTACAGGGTCAGACTGCTGACCAGATTTTTTAAATTCACTTCAGTCACCAAGGGGTTTTGCCCGTCTACCATATGAATTCGTGACCCGTTACTATCGCTTGATCGTACTCACACTGGCTACCTGGTTAGGACTTCTCATCCCACTCCAAATCGAACTGAATTAGAGAGGTGCAGCATCATAGTGATTATCACTTAGAATATCTGAAATAGTCGTCCTTTTGGCAGTATCAATACTAGTCTGTCAAAACCACGAGTATGTCTAACAGTCAAAATGATAATTATATTATCCTCCATTCTCTCCTTGGAATGCTGTAAACTGTATTCAGCTAATAATAAGAACATCCACGTATAACATCTTACACTAACAAGATTTCATTTAAAACACGATAGCTTGTATGTAAGGGTTTGACAGAAAAACAGTTTACGATTTAGCTCACTTATCAATCCGTGTAAAGATGTGAGTGATATATTATGCGAACTAGTGACAGATTGGTTGCACGAATCATGTTGGACAGAAAGAGGTTTGAACAAAAAACTCGGTGATTGAAATTATAATAACTAATCCAATGAATAAAATACACAAATACATACAACTCTGAGTTTCAAACAGATGACCACATGAACAACCACGATCAAGAAATAAGAATTTCAAAAACGTATATAGGAAACCGGAATACAAAACTATATGAGTGAAGACTCAGTATTTTTCCCCTACATATAGCATACATCATGCTTGAAGAAAGAACAAGCATGGAGGCTAACGGTAAAAAGCCAAGACGTATAGCTACGGTAACAGGTATAAACTCCTTATTATATGCATAGATATACACACTTTGCAACGACAATCATTATTGAATATATCCGTAAAAACGAATCCAGCTGTGAACAAACCAGCAAAACATTTATACATTAAAGCCGCTGATCTGGTCACTAGGAATATCAGCGCCAGTAAAAATTATAACTGCAAATATACTGATTCTAAAGAGCATGATAAGTTAACATAACGAATTTTTGAGGACTGGTATTTCGTGGACCATCGCCCTTCTGATCCTCAGATATTCTTGCTGTTTGACAGTTACAATATATAAATAGTAATTTTTTAACATATGTTTGATGAACAATTCACAGAGTAGATTACTTACGTCAAAATGACATCAGAACTGAGTAGTGTACAGTCGAGTCATATATGAAGACTGATAAAATTAACTGAACCATATTGAATTGGTCAGTAACAAACACATGGAAAACAGCAAAGTATTGTAACAATAATTAACTCATATAAAAAAGAAATTCACCTAAATTATATGCTATTTGGTACCCGTCAGTAAGGAGTTTCTGCAACTTTGAGGAAAACTATACTCCTTCCAAGATCTAAACTCATCTTATTTCAACACTCAGCAAGAACAGACATGTTCATGAATTAGACAATGTCATGTACATAATATGAAGGTTAATGACACTACCTGACTGCCCAAACTATAGTAGACTGGGTTGGATTCAAATCCGTAACCCGCTGGTTGGAAGTCAACTATCTAGGTCAATGAGTTACAGCGTTACTACTCAGTGCTAAACATTGAAAAGCTCCAATTATCACAAGAACTTATCACTGACTGATACTCATGCTGATTTTAGTCTATCGATAAAGTTTTCAGTGTGGTTATCAGACTACGAAGGGCTCGACATATCTGTGAACTTTGATCGTTAACACTCATCAGAATAACATATTTTTGATATGGTTCAGATTTCTGACAGTACACAAGTTTCCTCGAGGTTGTTGATACGTCTTGATGATTTGGCAGAAAATTTCAAAAATGATGATGGGCCTATTATGGCACATAGTGAAGATGTAAAATAGGTCTTGATCAAGAAGCTATAGAGAGAATATCTTGCAGCTAAATTGTGTTGATGATTCAAATAATCATTTTAGGATAATTAAAAACCCCGCGACATTTAAACCTTATGATGCTTACAGATAAGACCATAAAGATAATTCCAGAGAGGATATCAATCAGTATGTGAGTGTTGTCATGTCAATTTAACAAAATCTATACGAAAAACTCATTATAATGGGTCATAAAAATTCATAAGACGAATCGGTAAGGTTGTCCAACAGCGTATAAGAAATATTAAGAAATGGTTGAGAGGTGAGGTGCATTTACCTTCGTTTTGTCGCTACTACCAATTCAGATGGCTCTGGCAGTTTTGGTGGATTGGATAATCTCTCCTAGAAAATACAAAAGATAAATTTATGACAGACATTGACCACACCGTAACGAACATGGAAATAAATGTAATTTAATCTACTTGGTAGCCAATGAACAGTGGACTGTTCAACCGGTCGAATTTTGGTGGAAAATCGAAATACACTCCGTAACCACGTGCATGCTTGCGTAGTAGGTAATGAGCAATACCAGTTGTATGAGGCGAATAGTACTACCCGGCTGTCCAAACCTCGATAGGTAGAGCGGAAATTTCAACCCATGACCCGCTAGCTGGGAATCGAATGCCTACAGCAATGAGCCACAGCTCAACGCTAAGAAAACCTTGGTGAGATGGAGCAGAGTCTGAACCCTGACTCTAACAAAAGGATGTTAATTGCTAAGTCCAGTAATTCATAATTCTTTTTTACATGATTTTTATCTACACTCAAATTCAGATATTAGCATTAATCCCCTATTGGAGTCAATAGGGTGAATATATTCACTTTCTATGAGTTGTGTAATTCGGAGGGTTGAGAAGATATTCAAGTAGTGAAGATTATTACTGGATGTTTCAGTTTGTTAAGCATTTTACTTTTGAAGAGATTAATGGTTGTTAAGATGCACTGACTAATATAGACAGCTGGGAAAAATATAATCTCAAGAGAGGTGACGAAAAAATAGAGGGAAAATTCGCTTCAGTGAGATGACTTGATACTAATAGCGTTTGGGGACATCAAGCGCCAGGCCCTTTGAGTGAAGCCCAAATGGGAAACGACGAGTTGGGTGCCTGAACCGAGGGTGACATGGAGGAGATCGTGTGAGGAAGGAATGGAAGCTTATGGGCAGGTTGGAAAGACTGGAGAGAAGAGAGTGAAATGGTGACATGCTACTGAAGCCCTATATTCCACTAGGAACCCAAGGGATAAATAATAATAATTCACAAACTAAGGTGGAAAGTGGATGTTCCAAGCACATTGTGAATCAACAAAATTTTGTCCATTCTCCTCTTAAATCCTTTTTATTTATTTCCATACATTTCTACTTTTGCTTAATTAGCTCTGGTCTGTGCTGTTCTGTTGAGGTCTACGTTGATCTGTCTGCCGAGTTGGAATAAACAAGATATTTTAAATGTATAGTTAAATGCACTAACATTAGTAGTGTTATCAAGACCCATTACCCAGAAGCTTAAAGACACTGAGAAAACATGAAAAATGTCTAGAAACAAAAGTTCTATGACAGACTCAACAGTACCATCTAAAAAGCAATTGAAAGACTAAAATAACTTTGGCGATTTTACTGTATCCTGCACACATCTATTGGTAAAACTGATTTCTTTTCAGGAACTATCCCTTGACGAACATCGAACTAATCATCTAATATCAAGTGAAAGTCAAACAATCAATAAACGGCAAAACGTAACTATACACTTTCAAAGTTGAACTTAAGAAATTAATTGATATATCTTTGTAGTCTGCCAAAAGCGTTTTCCAAGGATATAATGATAGATCAGCTGTTTGCTCTCCCTACTTACAAATACATATGAGCAAATGATGCGTCACATGTTTACTACTTTCAACTCATTAAACATGCAGATCTATATGCATTAGGCAGTGAGATGTAACTACTGTATGACAGAGCTAGTAATACTACTAATTGGCTTACTAAATCTTAGTAGCTGGTGACAAAGTTCGTGCACGTGACCTACTGATTGGAAGTTGGGTGTCTAAGTTGCCTGAGTCACAATTCCATATGTATTACACTATATTATTATTCACTTGAAATACAATTTTAACAGTTGATGATGACCACCAGTTTTTATTAAAGAGTCAAATGCATTATCAGTGAAACTATACACAAAAAAGGAATCAATCACTGAGAGATGATCATATTCTAGTTCTCAATGCGGATCCCATCCTAATGAACAACATTTACAATCTGTCAGCCAAAGCATGAGTGGATCAACAAAATTAGTATAGCACGATATATGAAACATTTCGGAGTCCCTGAACGTGGTTCTGGCTTAGTGGCTTAGGGAGGGGGTCATCGACCAGAAGGTCACGGGTTCGAACCCCACTCCACCTACCAGGTAATGTCATAGGTGTCACCAGGTAGTATCACTAGCCCTCACACAATAGGTGTGTCTTGTTGCCAACTGCGCAGATGTCTAAAATATAGCTGAATGCGTTTCAGTTTCACTGAACGTACGTCTTCCGTTTATTGAAACTTTTCTCAATAAAAACGTAGTGTATAATCACCCATCATAATAAAAACAAACACGGTTAATTTGGGGTCAGTAACACAAATGTTACCTTAGACTATTTACGATGATGAACAAAAAATAAAAAGTGTGATGCACAAACACATACACACTTACAGCTCTTTGCCTTTCACGAAGTTGCCTAAGTAATACAATAATTTCTTTATCGGCCACATCGAAAACAGATTGACTCTGAAAATGAAATTTATAAAGAAATGTGATAAACTAATGAATTGATATAACAGAGAGAGACAAAATGGAGATGTAAACGAAATCAAATAGAAAACAATAAAAGTGAGAGAGTGAGAGTTAAATCCTCTAAGGTACTCCGGACAACGATTTTAAAAGGTTATCAGATCATTTAGTGAGTCAGTTCAACAGTAGGCAATCCTTAGTCACTGTTTTTATAATTAATAGCAAGTGCCTGTACTTCCAGATGACGATGTTGAAATTGGGTTGTATTCTAGGCTCTAGTTTATGTCACTATACGTTTCAGTGTTATGCTAAACATTGTATTAAGAGTAAGCCTTATGGTAGAGAGAAGTTGTTTATCTGAATATGAACATTCAAATGGCCACCATCTACCGTGAAATCAGCAATCATGACGATGTCCAACGTAACACAAAACCATTTACCAACCTAAACAACACCTTAAAAGATAAATTCATCTAATCTGTATTCAACTAATTTTGAAAAGAATACATAAAAGTAATTATTGTGTTTATAGAATAATACTGTGGACCACAGGTCGTACTTTTTGTATAGAAGTGAAGCATCAAATTCTGCCATGGAAGTGAATCAAGTGAAACTAAATCCAAACCTGTAAGAGGCTGACGGGATCAACCCTTGAATAGATGAAACATAGTTCCGTTACACTCAATCCTCTCCCATCCTAATTCTAACTTCAGTCAGCATAGAACATCAAAAGCACCAGTGATTAAACATTTACTATGGTATAAAATTTATCTTAGTCGAAGTGTGCCACAATGCCATGATGCACATTTCTCAGCCATCAGTCAGAGTATCACAGGTTCAAAGGTTAGTATAATCGTTAGTCTGAATATAGGTATGCGACATAGCTTACTGCACAAAACGTATATGTGAACATTTTATTGTTGAAAAAAAACCGTCAATCTAGTCATAAATATTTCAACAACAACAATAAAAAAGCTCATCACGCTTAGTGCTTTTAAAAGTGCTAAGTATGATTCAGATATTGTAATTTATCTTTTATTGAAGTATTTATGCTAAACAGAGGCTAACCACGTAGACCAATCTAGCCAATCAACTTGACTTATTAAAACCACATAAACCCTTGAAATACGTTTATACATAGTGCTGACATATTTCGTACAAAAAAAGCTACATACACTCTAAAATACAAATAAATTTACGTGAGTGACGTAATTGGAAATACGTATTATGCATTACTATAAGACAGTATTCAAAGTGAACACTGTAAGACACTAATGTAGAGTGCTACACCTGTTTACAGTGAAGACCCAGTTGCATCAATGACTCCCCGTTTATGATTCACATAGAGTAAGAAAACAATGTTACAGTGAATAAATCAGGTGTACTTAGAGTAAAACGTGATCAAACAATTAGGTGGATGCATTTTCTTCTTCTCTAGAACACGTGGAACAGAGAAGGTGAATAACAATGAGGTGAAATACATGACAATTAGGATTTCCATGAAGTAGTTAAATGTCTATATAATCTGTTTTTTCTACTCTTGTCACAGGTTGACGAAGTATGAAAAGAGATATGCAAGCATTAGGAAAGATCACAACTTGAATCAGATCAGCATTTCATTACGTGGATGTCTTACATTATAAACATGAAAATGAAGTTCACTAGACAGCAATACGTTTTCAGTAAGCAGTAATACGAACATTATGGAGTAAGCAGTCTAACAAATTATATCCGATAGACAAAAAACTTGTAGGGATACTAATAACTCCCTTTTTTCAAAGAGAAATCCATTTGTTGTTATTATGCTGAATGAATATGCCATGAATTAACGAAGTTACTTATTACACATAGACAAATCTACTACGTGAACTTACACGAAAAAAAGTGGAGGAAACCTTAGACAAAATATCATAAACTGTTGAATAAGTTTCACAATCTATCATTATTATTATACTGGTCATGAGAAACCATTAGTTAGTAGACCGGGTATTTATGTGCCGCGGGAGATGACTGCAGGTGGAACGAAAACTTGGGTCGTGACAGGATTTGGATCAGCGGGTGTTACCGTGACATGACTATGATATGACTGACTTTCAAGCAGTCAATCACACGTCTACTCATAGAGGTCATATGTGATTATTCAATACAGTGACAATAGCTTACTTAATTCATTCGATGAGTAGTGCTTTAAAAATCGAAAGAAAAAAATTTCGGGAGTGTGCCCCATTGTGATTAGTTGTATCGCAAACAGCTCGACGGCCTCAGTTAGGTATCTTGCACTTTCACTTATGGCTAATGTTAATGCTAATTACGTTTTCGTTTAATCATCCCTCGTTAATTTCAACTGAATCCTACCTCACCTTGAAAGTGGCTAGCGTAACCCATCCCAGTTAACAAAGTTGGCAAGGGCGGACAACCTTATCGAATAACTTAACTTTCTTGTCTACCACTCTATGCCCAACTTGGGGATTGATTGTTCTATGATTCTCCTCTAGATGCGGATAATGCTTTATGCATATATATACGATAAAAAAAACTCTGAACTTCGTTAACACGCTTAACGTCCATGTTTTGTAGACACAGGAGAAAAAAAAGTGAACTGTTGTGTACTACTAATACTACTACCACACATTACTGGGTATTTATAAAACCACAATATTAGGAAACCTGAAAATCTTAAATCCAGTTGGCAAAAAGATCAGTCCATGAGCATTGTTGAGAAGTTGTAGACTAGAATGATGTGAAGCAGTGGTAAAGAAAGATAAGCAACATATCAGGAAAAGAAATACGCTGATTGATGATATATTAGCTATAACAGTGAATATTGTTGCCATCCAAGGTACATACAAAATAAATATGCATTTTACATATTTACAGACATCAATAGTGTTGAGCTGCATACTGATACCACGAAAATACGATGCCTTTTTTCCTTTAAAGTAATAGATAAGGGAGTATTACTGGCCAATAGGATTCAGTGTTGTTATGTAAAGTACTTTTACTGGTCATACACATATGTGAACAAATATGGTGAACAAGCATACGCTAATATATGTTGTAACAACAATGTCAATGCACAAAGATGTATCCCATAGTCAATACACAAACAAGTATTATATATAACGACGAATGAAACACAATCAGAATCGAGACGATAAAAATAACTTAACGCTAAATAGTTATTTTCTTTTAATATCAGGGAGAAACAAGTGAATGTTTATGTATACGTGGATAAAGTATACAATGGAAGTATATTCAAATGCCCAAAACAAAGTGGGACCCAGACATATGCGCTATTTCGTCCAGACTATTTAAACAAAAACTTGACCTTCAGAAATAAAAGAATTTGTTTCTCTGTTTCATGATATATCTCTGTAAAGATGGCATGTTGTTTGTTGCTAATAACGAAGCGAAAATTAATCGTCATAGTGCATTGTTAAAAAACAATACTGCTACTAAACCGTATGCTTCGCATGTGGTTATCGTTAACATTTTTTAAATCTGTTTTTCTTCACTACTTCATTCAAGATAGTGACTGAATCTGTAAGAATACTCCAATATTGTTTGGAATACAATCCGATAGCATTCATCAAATAAGCGAGTAGTTTAATGATCTACCAGTTACCATTGTGAAATATGCGTTTGAATTATTTAGTTCTGTGATAAAACACCGTTCTTCTATAAGATACAATAGTTAAGTTTACCTTCAAACACTACACACTGACTAGGTGGTTGGGGTCCACGGGACAAGAGGAACCAGTGGTTGGAGACTCTAGGTGATATGGCTCAGAACCGAAGTCAGTGGCACAGATGTATACACACATTATCCTCATCTTAACAACGCTATACCGAATCTCACTATTTTGTCACTCCTCTCTCCTTTCTTCTCGTACTTTATATTTCTTTTGAGTACATTCACTTATCTTCATCCTTCGCCTCAATACCTTTTTACTTGATGTGCTGATATGAGGTGTGGCAACTCGGACCGTTACGCAGTAATGCCTGGTCCTATGTTGATAATGATGATGATGATGACACATTCAGCAGTTAGAAGCCTGTTGTTATACAACCTAGTAAGATAATACTACAACTCCTAGAAACAGCTATAAGGCATAGTCAAAATAACAAATATATATTTATAACTTACAGCACGTGTATGTTCATCAAAACTAGCACCAGCATTGGCTAACATTCTAGCCGATGCTTCACGATTCCAGTGTGCAGCTGCATGCAATGGAGTCCATCCATCAAAATCTTTAGCATTTATATCTAAACCAGGGATTTTGAGAAGAATTTCCATTGCTTTTGTGTAATCTTTACAAGCTGCAACATGTAAAGGTGTAGCACCAGTTCTTGGATCAACAACAGGTCTAAAATATTAAATAAATAATTAGTTATTCATTAAAACAGGCTAATTTAGATCTATCTATGTAGAGAATCAGTGTAAGAAAATAATAAACTGAAAAAAATGGACTGAAACTTAGTCACCATGTGCACTATCGTACAGTAAGCAATGAGCCACATCTATTAGGTGAGCTCTACTGATACTATCTGGGTACCCAAACCTAGGTAAGTGGAGCAAAGCTCAAACCCATGAGCCAATGGTCGTAAAAAGTAGTGAGCTCAAATGGTTTGTATTCTCTAACCTCTGCTCATATTGCTTAATTAATAGAATACAATTTAGAAAGGAAGCGCAAATTCATACTCTAGATGAAATAATTATGTCTATCTGACTAACCAAACCTCTGTGAGTGGAGTTTGAAAGTAGAATGTTTCATACTGTTTGCTGGCCAACTATTCACTTCCATGCTAACAATTATTTTTTAGAATACAATGGATATAAAAGTGGTGTCAATAGATCTTATTTAGGTAAGAAAAAAAATCCCATTGAGACATCCAAAAAACAAATTAATTCAGAAAGGAAATTTTTTTCGATGAATCATCTTCACTAGCTGTACAGTCGTATTTATAGTAATAACAAAGAAACAGGTTAGTCTATTTTTTTTTAGCTAATAGGGTCTTCATTTAACTACTCTTCAATGAAATCAAACCATATTTATTCACTCATTTGCCTTCTATCTTGCATCCTTCCTTGACTTCTATGTTCCCAATTGATACGAAAATTCATGAAATATCTTCCTCACTTATAATAGGTCAACATTACGTCCTCAAAACGGAATGTTCTAAGGTGAAATTGTGGTGTAGTTGTAGAGTTAGAAACGGATTGCCTAATCAAGTGTGTATGAGGAAAAATAAACAGAAGATTAATATGACGACCGAAAGGTTAGAAAATAAACAGGTCAAAAATAATAGTACTTATTGTGACCAATAATCTGAGTATTTTGAGGTAGTATTCATCACGGTTTGACATCAGTTGAAGAAATATTGAAAACCTAGGAGCTTCAGGTTTCACGGCAAACTTTCACCATTCAGTCACTGAGTTGGGTCACAGTTACCAACTTCTGTCAATTTGCGATATAGCGCGAACACCACTCAAGGTTAAAAGTTAGCATTCGCTGCCCCTTCAGACTGGTTGACCCCACAGGTCACGAGTTCTTATTAGAACTTCTGGAAGTGTATCACCAGTGTGCACTATACAGTTAGTTGTTTTGAAGTTAGTGGAGATTTTAATTTTGGTAATCTTAAACTGCACTGGATGATCATTTAGTCAAGACTAAGTCAATAAGCAGATCTGTACTCTTACTAGGTGATGACACCAGCAAACATTAAAACGCATTATCGATCACTCTTGATAAACTATATATGACGTAACTATTTTTATTTTGTAGTCATTTTGTTTATTTCCCCATTATGCAACTTTCCTTTGTGACGAAATTTATATTGGCTTTTTACCGGAAACTACTCTGGAATGTTCTTTTTTACTATACATTCATGAATGCACAGCTAAGAGAATAGTTTCGTCGAAAAGAAAAGTGTTTTCTTCACTACAATTATCTTCTGTGTTTTCCTATGTTCAAATGGGATTATTTCGATACTTAAAACATCTTTCTTGAGATTTCCCGGTTTTGTGCCGGAGCGAACTGACTGACCCAAACTAGCGAATGGACTTGATGGTGGGTAGTAGTGGAACGAAGGATACGTATTTCGTCCTATTTAGGACTCTTCGAGTGAGTGTACCTACATTCCTGAGGTTGATTATTTCGATCTGGCATAATAACGGGGAATCAAGAGTATCAATAAAAAATATCAACTTATACTTCGAAACTATTGGCAGCTCTGGTGCCTCAGAATGACTGACAAATCAAGGTAGAACCTCGCACACATGTGCATCCCTTCAAGTTGTCACACTTTGGAGTGGCGTCATATCACAGTCTGATATCTCATTTCATGCATAATAAACGTAATATGATACTAATTGACGGATATATACATATCTGTTTCAATTGAGATGCTTAATACACCGATCAGTGATAATAAAGAAATTGTAAAATGTGCTCCAAGAGAACACTAATTCATTCTGAAATGCATTACCTACACATCACAGCAAATTATACTAGGTAATGTATGACCTCTAAAGTGAGGACGAATCACAGTTGATTGCCTTCGTATAACAATTCCAGTAACCTATGCGGAGCTCAAGTTCGTTTTAAGAAAATACTATGCTTTACAGTTGTATTTGGTGTCATATCTTGGAATTTTTTTTCATGAATAATAAATATTTTGGTAGATATCGGTTAACTTCATTCGACTGTAAACTACAAATCATTTCAATATACTCTCCTTAGACAAAAGCTTTTTATCTTTTTATAGAATGCAACTAATGACTTTGAAACCGGTATAAATACCGCCTCCGCTGAGAAACCTTATTTTATATACAAAAAAAATAAAAATGTCTGGATTTGTGTTTACATAGCTTCGATGCTTTTCGTAAAAAGCTAAAAATTTATGCATGTCCATCAAACAGAATATATCTATACAAATTCATTTTGACCCAGGGAAGTTAGGTCAACTAAATATTCTGCAACAGATAGGAAAATACCAGTAAAACGATCAACCTTCTTACAATTCATCACCAACAATGACACTTACCTCAAATTCATGCAGGAATAGCAAAAGGGGGTAACAGGATAAAAAGGTAATCGATGAGCTGACCCCAAAAGCGCTGACAATGGACTACCGTATAACTTCAGACATAATTTATTATTATTTGTCCCTTGGGTTCCTAGTGGAAAATAGGGCTTCAGTACCACGTCGCCATTTCACTCTCTTTTCTCCAGTCTTTTAAACCTGGCTCCACCACTGCCCAAAAGTTTTCATTCCTTCATCATACCATCTCCTCCATGTCATCTACAGCTCAGACGCCCAACTTGTCGTTTCCCAATCCAAATCTTCTTCTGGGGTCTTTTCAGTGGGTTCAGCCAGCGTATGTCCCTCTTCTCGCCACTCACAGTTGTTTGTTGCATGATCCAGTCCAGTCGATCACAATCAGGAAGATCACTGGTGATAGTAGACAGCCTTGTCTTACTCCTGTCTTCACTTCAAAGGCGTCACTGGGCTTCTCATTGTGAATTACTTGGCATGTGGCGTCTGCATATAGTTGTTGAATGAGATTGATAAAGGATTGTGGTATTCCGTAGCGTTGAAGCAGCTCCCTGTCAAATTACTTCTCGGTCGACGGTGTTGAAGGCCTTTTCGAAGTCGATAAAGTTGAGGTAGAGAGTTGACTGTCATTCTATACTCTGTTCTACGATGATGTGTAGCTAAGCGTTGTTATCTGGTCCGCACATGATTTGTAATTTCTGAATCCAGCCTGTTCCGGTCGTAGTTTCGAATTCGACGCATCCTTTAGTCTCTCCAGGATGATGCGGCTTAATATTTTGCTTCCTTGGGTGGACAGCAGCATGATTCCGCACCAGTTTTTGCAAAGACATATGTCTCTCTTCTTCCGGAGTTTGATAAGGTAGACCTTCTTCCACTCGGCAGGTACCTTTCATTCCTTCCAAACCTTCTGCAGTAATGGTGTGAGCATGTTCGCTGTTGTCTCTGAGTCTGTTTCCAGTGCTTCCGGAGGATTTCCACCTGGTCCTGCTGCTTTCCTGGATTTCAGCAACTTGATGACGTTCAGGACTTCGACTTTTGTCGGAGGGCTTGTGTTCACTGGTATCTCTGTGGCTGAGCTGCTGGTGGTGGTCGATTCAAGAGTTTTCTGGTCGACGCATTGTTTCCTTTGTTTTTCCTCTTTAGCAGTTACTAGATTTCCTTCACTATCTTTCATTGGTTTCATCTGAGTTGATCTCTTTCATCCCAGATAGTAACTGCAGCCTGTTCTGCTTCACTTGCCAATGTGCCGTAGAAGTGTCTTTTGTCTTTGCATGTACTTCTGTTCACTTCTTTGTCCAGTGTTTTATACGTTGTACTCAGTTCCTCTTTTGGTTGTCTATCCTTGCACTGCACTGTTTCATCTTCCTCTCCCTCCTCTATCAGCTTCTATGTGTCCGTAGAGATCCATTCCTTGTCTTGCTTCCTCTTTCTTCCTAATACGGTTATGCAGGTTTCCTTCCACATCTCTTTCAAAAAGTTCCAGTGTCCTCGAAAGCAGGTTTCCTCAGGGATGTTGCCTAATGTCTCCCATTTTGTCCTGGTGTCTAACGTGAAGATGCTGTTTGTAGTCTTGTCCTTCAGTTTCCGTCCTGGGTGTTCAACTTAGACTGTGGCCTATTACCAACTTCTGTGAAGGCTTTCAACTTGATTTTGAAGGCAGGTTCCTAGCACTATATGGTGAGTAGTGTGAACCACCTACACCTGCTCCCCTTCTTGATCTGATCTTGTGTTCAGTAGGCTGCGTCTCCACTTTCTTCACACTGAGGTGAAGTCGATCTGATTTTTAGTGTAGTGTGTCCACCTGGTGAAATCAAATCCATGTCGCTGCCTTGTGAATATCCTTGTGTTTGTACAGACTACCTCACTGCAATCATCAAGTCGTTGAGGAGGCAGAAATCTGCAAACAGTTCTCCATTCTCGTTCATCGTTTCACCGAGTGCTTCTCGACCCATGATGAGTACTCTTCCTGTGTTGTCCGCTCCCAGTTTAGCATTCACATCACCCATTTGAATTTTGATGTCACCGTCACCATATGGGGTGGGATCTTGTCCAGTACTGGTTGCAGTTGTCTGCAGAATTTCTCCTCCTTTTCTTGATCTGCGTTATTTGTAGGTGCGTTGCGTAGCATTGTATGATTGTGACTTTCCTTCCTTTTGAGTTGAATCTTGCTGTCATCATCCTCCAGGAGGAGATTGGTTTCCACTGCATGAGAGAGAGCCTTCGATGTTCTTAGAGACATCATGATAGCCACTCGAAAACTCAGTGTGCTCGTGGTTGTGGTCTAGGTCACAATACCGCAGTAAATTATTGACTCTCTAGTTAAGAGTTTGGAGAATCCACTTCCATTCCATCTGCTGATTCCTCGCAGATTCCTAGCACTATATATCTTCTTATCTCTTTTGCAATATGGGCAGCCTTGCTAGGTTCAAACATTGTGCGGATATTTCATGTCCCCATTCTCACTTTCGCTTTTATTAAGAGAGGAAACACATTGGCCAATTGGCTGTCTGAAGGCTCTCACCAACTGACGTCATTTCGCCTCTCCGACTCCAGCGAGGAATAAGTTTAATTTTATGTTTCATATTTTCTTTGTGCTTTGAAGTTTCTTTATTGGTTTGATTGGTTTTACGGGGTAGGGTTGCTAGCCCTATGCCCAACCTTCCCTCTTTATCTGGGCATAGGACCGGCTAGCAACTAGTGAACTAGTTACCTAGGCGAGGTTTTCAGACATAATGACTAAAGGAAATTTCTGTAACTAGTGACCATATTAGTGTTATTGCTTGTATTATTCTGTCGCTGATTAGACCGAACTGATTCGTCTCTATTGGCATATGGGCTCCTGAGCGGATGCCTCGATTTTGCCTGTGTTGCCCATATATATATATATATATATATATATATATATATATATTAATGATGGACTCGAACTCGGGACCGATCGCTTCAAATGCCAGAGCGTTATCCACGAGACTACCGAGCCACGATAGTCATTCCTTATGCGACGGGTATAGTTTTATTATTATTGCTTTTATTATCGGTCAAATTAACGACGGGATAATACAAGTAATACTAATAATATACCCGTAGCACAAGAGGCCGATACCGTGGCTCAGTGGTCTAGTGGATAATGTTCTGGCGTTTGAAGCGATCAGTCCCGATGGGAAGGACATCCCTCACAGAAAGGCAGGTACATCCAGATGACAAGTTCCAAATGAGACGTAACGCGCGTCCTGGTATCCACTGTTAGCCACTATCCATCACCAATATAGTGAGCATATTATTTCGAAAAATGTTAACCTGAAGCCTTACGCAAAACATGGTAGCTAATGTAATTATTAAAAGTGCAAACCTTGAGCACGGATATGGAGCTAATGTAATCCACTGAGAAGTAAAATTCTGTAAGCCAGATCAGTGTGAAGCAACCTAGTGAAGAAAAAATCTATGTTAGTTCTTCCGGCCTCTCTACTTCTAAAAAGGGGGAGAAATTTGAAGTGACAGGAACGCAATTTGAGCACCCCTTACATATAGATCTGTGACATTTCTACTGGTTATACTTTCATACATCTCCTAAACATAAAGATGATGATTAGACATGATTCCAAAAGAATTAAACGTGGTTGTAATGCCTTTGAAGTTAGTTAGCTTTAGAACAAAACATAAATTGGTGATAATATTATTTATAAGCAGAACTCACTTGTAATGACCACTAGCTAACCAATGTTGTGCATCATTTAAAAGCGTCTGTTCCTCAGAATGTTTAATAGCCTCAGCATCAACACCTTGTTTTTTCATTGCATTTGTAAGTAGTTTGATCATTTCATCGTCTTGTGCAACATCGATAGGCAATTCTAGATCTATGCTTAACACTGAAAGATCTGCACCATTTTCGATTAGAAACCTGCATGAGAAAAGGGAAACGGATGATAAAAAGTTGGCGTGTTAATATATGAAAAGAGTGACTAGTTGTATTCCTCACTGTGAGTGAAAGTCACCCAAAATAATGCGTAAATAACTCTGCTAATTTGACAAAACTGGAGCTTTGTTCTTTTATCTCCCACCTAGACTGATGATAATAACGATTGCAATCTGTGATATACTCACCAACTATTTCAATCGATTCGTAACCTGATCCATAAGTCTCTGAGAAAGGCTATTACAGAACAGAAAAGGGTTACGAAATGGCCTCACATATCTTCGAAGGAAATTCAAAGGCGAGATGATCACTGATATCCTGAGTACACGATTGTCGAAGTCAATAAGCAAGAAATCCTTTGGTGTTGGTTTTCAGATTATCTTTTCATGCCAGAAGCTGATTTGTCAGTGTGTGAAGATTAAATTGACGCATTATGTCCTGTCATGTTTATCTGTAGTTTCACTTGTCATTTTGGAGCTGAATACATTAACCGTACCGCATGCTCACCTGCCAAACGTGCTGGCTACTGAAAGGTGAACAGAAGACTACATTCAGCTCTGTTGTCGAGCATTCATTGAATTCACGGTACTTAGCACATCTATAGAGTTCGATCAGATTGTTCAAAAGGTAAGAGAAAAAGTTACCTGTGTACAGCTGAGCCACTAACAGTTTACAAATGCAAGCTTGAACTATGTTTTTAAAAAAAGATTTTACAGTGACATTTTTACCATGACTTTAAAGCTGTCGCATTGTATCTTTTTATTGCTGTCTACCTTGTAATTTTCTGGAAAAATAGACGGATTTGTTACTAAACAGTCCTTTTTGTTTCATTTTCCATCAACCAACTTTTTGAAATTTTCAAGAATTTTTCGCAATTTACATCATACTTTCACACTCGCTTGCTACACTTATTTTTACTATTCTACTAACTTTAACCGCATATTCCTCTGCAACTTTCTATCCCCTGAATTATAAGTTTACGAACGTACAACATTGAAAATGAGTTGTTGAAAAAATAATTATCTGCACTGTAACTTCCTTTTTGCTTTTCCTTATGATTAAATATTAAGCAGTTTGAAGAATCGATTCAAATTCACGACATTATTCATTAGTTTTACTATTTGACCTGTAACTGCACACCTATGCTTAGTAGATATGCTGTAACATGATGCTATCAGGGCACTGGTTAGGTCTAACATCTGAGAACTAATGTTGTATTACATGGTTAAAAGTAATCGGTACGAAACTGTGGATCCAGGTTTCCTACATATTGGCACTCATGAACAAGGTGTATCTACAACCTCGTTGTTTTCAACATGAATTACTTGGTGAAGAAATCAGACTTTTTACAACCGAGGCATTCAAAACACATCTCACCTCTATTAGGGCTCGATTATGTAGATGAATTAGTCTCCAGCGGATAAATAATGTAGAAAGTGTCAGCGGATTTTCTCCGACTGACTCCTAACACCAAAGTGTAATGCACTGCCGTGTCACACAGAATAGCTTAGTGGATATATTTAGGACTTGACCCATAGACCTCAATCACTGTTGATCACTGCAAAGTTGATACCTACATCAGTTACCCTTTGATAAACAAGTAATATACCTGATGTTGTCTACATTTAACGGAGATATCACATAAATGTAAAGTTGCTGTGTATTTGTATCCCTGATATGCATTATTATATTTCAGTATCACCTTACAGGAAGCAATTTTATCGTGGATAACAATTGAGATGTTTTGCATTTGCACTGAAACTACTCAAGTCAACCTCGAACAACTGCTGATGAATTTCCTGAAGTAATCAAAACGCTTGCCAACCTCAATTGTACAAAAATATGCCCAAGAAAAAGCTAGAGATGGCTGCAGTTTATATATATATCAATAGTAAAAACCTGAAAAATGACCTAAAATATCTTAAATTGTACCATACATTCACAAGAACATTCTACCTAAGTATGTAAATATTCAGAGTACAAAAAAGTATGCAGATATGTTTCACTGACTACTGCATTTAATTTCCAAGTAATGAGTTCCCAGTCCAAAACTCAATTCATTCTTTTTAGCCTCCATACATTGTGTGTGACGCATAGTCTACCATAAGAATTTATACTGGATTACTGAGATGAATTTTTAATATTGCATAAAAATTCACTAAGAATCTAACAATGATATTAACAAAATATAAATAACTATCATGTATATACACAACTAGTGTAATAAATAACTGAATCAAACATATAATGCACAGCATTTGTGATGCGTAGGGGGAAAAGATCAATAAAACTCATTTAGAAACTATAGATGACAGTACTAGAAAGACAAAAAATTTCGTGAATTATGCAACAACTAAAGATGCAATTTGATTGCTTGTGAACGGGGTCTCCGAAAAAGAAAAATTAGTAGTTGAAGTTCGACATCAGTTATGCATTACAACTTTTTTTGCAACACCAAACTACATTGACCATTTTAAACGATATCTATACCTCAGGAGATAAACTGATTAAATAACCACATAGAACCCTAAAGAAACGTCTATTATTGGTTTAAAGTTATACTGCATTTTAACAGGGCAAAATAAATAAGAAAGAAGTGAAACATTAAAATGACCACGACAAAAGTATGCTGTTTTAATTAGTAATTGATCATACTTTTTTGCTTCGCTTCAATGGGGTAAAAGGCAATCATGATTGCATAAAGGTAGACAAGAGATAGACAAATTAACGAACGAAAGTAATTATGTAACACAACGTATAGAAACAAGTTACTATGTTATACTACTATTATCTCCATCAGTGTTCCATACGTACAGTGGTTAAGGAAGGAAAAAAAAGGAGTAAATGTATCTGAATTATTATAATCAACTTCGTGTGATATCACTGACGAAGACATTCAACCACCGAAATAAAAACACATTATGATTAGTATGTCTTCATTCTCTTTTTTCATATAACATGATCAGAAAACGTATTTAACAATGAAACTGATTAATGTTGGGTTTCAGACTAAAGATATATCTGGCCATGAAAATTATCTTACTGAAGTAAGCATGTAGATTAGTACAAACTTAAAGATAGATTTCGTATGAAAAAGAAAATCCCAACACTCGTGCTAAAGAGAAATATGTGACAGTTAAATAGGAATTCATCTCATATACTTAGACGTTGCCAGAATGAATGGTACTACTGTAGTGGGCGTTGCTGATAAGAATGGATATAAGTAGTATACGTTGAGAGGGTGGCAGAAATCATAGGGAATTACCAGCAATGGGTAAAGATTCCGCCAAGAGAAACGCAAGAGACAAGGCAGGTGTATGAAGAGCAAACCAAGAAAGAAGCAGAAGAGGAAATGAAGCATATTTTGCAAATGATGGTTTTAGTGCAAGATGTACCATATTTAACGACTACTGTCCCACTTGTTGATAATAGACATTCCTTCCTACAAACCTATCTTTTGCATCTTTCACTACTTGGTCGTTTAAACCTCAAGTGAGTGGAGTTACGTCCAGACCTGTGATTCACAAGTTGGAAGCTAACTGATAAATTCAATAAGGCCTAAATAATATGCAGAAAAAATTTGGAACCATTATTTTTGATTAGTTTGATAAGCATACAGAAAAGTGATACACTGAAATGGTCTAAATCAAGGCATACTTGGCTGTTAAAAAAAATTAGTGTATACCATGGGAAAGGAAGCTGTTTTTATCGATAATCCTGAAAAAGGTGTGTCTATGCCCTAAGAGAGCAGGATACTCTGCTGAAGAAGCTGCGACACACACAGTGAAACATCTGGACAAATCTTATTTTGATTTTCTAAACACGCTGGGATTTTATTAAAACTTAATTATGTAATGCTCAAAGCAGACTCAGCGTTCAACTTCTTTTAGGACATTCGTAACAAGGATGGCCTGGATGTCTATAATCTACTTAGTACATAGCTAACGGATAGCGACGGCAGCTGAATTGTTAGCCTGAGCATTCGACTATCAAGCAATACACTCGTGGTTTAAATCTTGTCCCACCTACTGCGTATAATTCGTGCAGCTAACAGACTAGTTTAGTTATAGTGAACTAGTGATGAGATCTATTGACTCTTGATGAGACGTAATGAAGCGGTCATAAAGAATGCAAATAAAACAAATCATGGAAAGTAGAAAATCGACTAAATATGTAATTCAAGGGTTAATTTTTTAAAGATATTGTTCACCTTTAATGTTCCAATGATGTTTAACAAGTGATAATACAATTCCTAGAAGAGGTTAAAAATCGACAGGAAATGATGAAGATTGAGTCAGGGGAATACTAGAGAGTCAGAACAAGTGTAGACTATGAATCAAAAAATTACATCACATTTGATGAAAACCTGGTTGAAAACTACAAGTGTTTCGGTTTCGTGTTATCGTTCAGTTTCTTTTCAATTGTATCATGTTAGTCTTATTTTGAACCAGATTAAACACTATCCCAACCAATCCATGACTGTAGGAAAAAAACCATGCAACAGCCTGCGCTGTAGACTAACGTACGGTTACTCTTTGTGCCGGAGTAGTCGATAACATGAAAAAAGGTAACATTGCAACGATGTGACATGAGTATCCTTTAAGTGGTACATTATAGTATTCGAACCATGGAGAAGAGAAATCGAACAAAATCACCTAGGATTTGATTAAATAGACTGTTTTCAATAGATATAAAAGAATCAACTAACTTAATATGAGACTGAAAATATTGCAAACAGATAGATGGACTCCTCTACATTCCAATGCACTTAAAACGGATATTCAGAGAAAATAATGTAAACTTTTTCTAAACACATCCAGTTCAAAGGAGATAATCTAACAGAGACCCATACTAACAAACAACAATGATCTCTGAGAAAAGTTTCCGCCTATAACATGGAGACTAATTTTTACAATAAGATATATCTCACCAACACGATTGAAAGACAAAAATTTCATAAGTCCACATTGATATGGATTTATAAA